GTAAAAAAGAAGTTATAATTAATATATTATAGATATTACATATTTTAATTATATTTTAATGATGAAGTCACATCACATAATGCATTTGCAATGTCGCCACTAACAGTACTAGCTGTTCTTCTTCCGCTTATTTGCTGTTCATATATAGTTTATGTGGTGGCATAGAAGTATTACTACTTTCAAAAGCCGACAAAACGGAAGCGATATTTATTTTCCATTATATGTTTAATTTCTATTTACTTTACCTTTTTTTAATAATCATAATAATGACCAATAATAGCTACTCAACAAGTAGAACCACATTTCTTATGAAAAGAACATAAAAATGAATAAACAAACATTAACATAAACGAAATGTGATAATAAAATTAATATTTATAGCATATAATTAAAAAATAAATAATGAATATAAGAAGGAATAATTACATAAAGAAAATGTTCAGTGCATACGAGATCTAAGACCCACTAGTTAATAATTTTTAAACCCACTTTCGAAATGAAATGACTTCATTTGGCGTGATGTCAATCTCTACATATATCTCAAGAAAACATTCACTTATATAAAAAATTATGCTACAATTACTTCCTTATATATGAGAACTATATATAATAATTAATTGTTAAGAACTATATTTATATTATATAAAGCCAAATAATCATTGAGAGTTTTTATTTAAATTTATGAAAGATTTATTAAGGTCAGTTTTGACGAAAGAAATTAAATTCTTAATATAAACTATTACTTTCAATAGAGACATGTTTCGGACGGTATTAAATCATAACAATAAAACTTTATTATTTTATTAAATTATTGGATTTTTGGTTGACCATATTTTTCTGTTTCGAGTATTGCCAAATACCCATCATTAGTGGGCTTGGAAGTATTTTTTATATTTATTTTTATTTATATTTATTATCTTTTATATTTATGGTTACGGTTAAATTTATAATAAAATTCTTTTTTGGAAAAAAATCAACTTTTATTCGTAAACAAAAAAAAAAAATAATATATCTCCAACCCAATAAGTAGATGAGTTTGCAGTATTATTCTTTAAGGTTTAGGAACAATAGGTTTTCTTAAAATATTTTCATTACTGCATTGAAGAAATGAAATTTGTACTTTATTGACTTATTCTATTTCAACTTTTTTTCTTTATGCTGAGTTTGCTTTGGTGACTTTTCTAAATTAGGTTAGGTTAAGTTATACCAGCGTTTTAGCACAAAAGATCAATCATGGTCGCGGTGTACTGCTCAAATGGGAGCTAGTACCCTGTTCTTTCTTATTCTTATTATTCTTAAGTTATACCAGCGATCCCAAGAGGATCCACTTAGGCGCATAGGTCCATTGTGCCACCGTATTATTAAAAACCCAAAGGGCTAAAACCATGTAGAATCTTTGATAAATCTTATGATGCTATTTAAAGGGAGATCTCTATGTCCGCCAAGACCCTCAAAAAAGAAGGGCCTAAAATGTTAAGGCGGCACCGCCTTAAATTAAACAATAATAAAAGAAATGGATTAAAACTAATACTTTTTATATATATCTTTAACAAGATCTCGTACATATTAGATTTCATAGTAATAAAGTAATAATAAAAAAAATAATCAATTTTTTGAATGTATCTATAAATACCACAAAAAAACTGACTCATTTATTTTAAAATGTTAATTTTTTTGTTTATTTGGTTTTTTCTATTTTTTTCATTCATTTTTTTCATGATAACGGATACATTCTTCCAAATACGTAATTTTTGTTATAAAATTAACTGCATTAAATTTATGTGATTTGTTTAAAATTTTCGTATTTAATTACTTGCGAGTGTGGGCATACATTAATGCGTGCTTTGTATCTCAAACAAATTTTTTTCCAGTGTAAAAACAATGTTCATTATTATTTTGAATTCATTGAATATTGCGTGTGCGTTTCAAATAAAACATTATGCAATTCCATGACTTTTTTTTTTTTGGTGAAGTTATTGAAGTTTGAAGTGCTGTCGTATTTGGTGCAATTCAAGTGAAATGGTTAATTATGTACTAATTTATATGAAAAATCAGAGCAGTTACTTCTTTCAGATTGTTAATGTTAATTTATGTATTTTTTTGATAGTACACTTAAAACACTGTATATACACTTTTTATAAGGAAATAATTTAAAACTAAAGTATTATTCGGCAAATTAAAAAGTAATTTATTTTTGTATATAATAGGAATATTAAATAGAAAATATATTTAAAAAATAAATAAAAAATTTAACTATTTTATATTTAATTTATAAAATGTATGGACTTTAATCTGGTTTAAAATTAGAAACTGTACTTTATTTTCATTAAAGATGTGCTTCTTTTTAACTGCAGTATTAGTAAAGTATTATTTAACTACAGAACAAAATAGTTAAATACTTTTTAATAAATAAGGTTAAAGTATGTTAGTATATAAAACAGCTCTATGATTAGTTCAAAAATTAAATATAATTATTTATTGCTTTCAAATATACCACTAAAATGTGTATATTTCTTTCATAATGCTATCACTATGTCTGTATCCGTAAAATGTATTAAAAAAACTAATAATACATAATATTTAAATTTTTATATTTTATACTTTCTATAAAATATATGTGTTTTATTAATATTTATTTTTACTTATGCTGAAGTCTTTTATAATGAGTTAACGTTTTGTAAACATTCATTTTAATAATAAATTTAAAAAAAAATTTGATGGAGTTTTGGCTTTACCATCAGTACTAAATAAATCTCATAAATCTTGCGAGTAACTAAGTATGCACACCTTCATTGGTTTTAAGTTTTTATAATGGCTTGTGCTTCTATAATTTAAATAAAATAATTAAATATATAAATTTTTTATTTTTGTAATAAATTTTTAACATTTTTTTGCTGCACATAATAGCATTAAACCAAATACTTCTGCATATATTAAAAGAGTTAAGACACAAACTTGTTTTATATCATTTTAATTGTTGTAGAAAGATTTTTCTTTTTAAATATTTTATCTTAACAAGAATTAAGCACGTGTTTTCTAGTCACAAGCTTTACAAAAGCAAAGACAAAAAAACAACTACTCAACTTGGCATTTGACTTTAAAAAAATAAAAATTCCATTAAAGTCAACAGTTGACCTTTTAAACATTATCACTCTGCAAAGCGAGTTACAGCGATTGTAATTTTATAGCCTTTAGGCATCTGAAATAATAAAAAACGAAACTCTGTAAATGTTTTACGACCGAAACATTACAAAAAACGAGTTTTATTGGTTAAATATTTATATTATTTTATTTATATATAAAATAGGAAGTATATCCAAAACTGCTAGATTTTTATTAAAAACTTATTTTGTTTTAATAGTGTATACTTCTAAATTAAACAATGGTAGGTTAATTTACTACCGAATTCCAAAGCATCTACTTAGGTCTATTAGCCCAATGAACTAGTGGATACAATTCAATAATAATAAATAATAATTTAAATAATTTCAAATCTTTAAAAGAGTTTAAGATGCTCTTTCTCGGTTGCACTGTGACGCTGCAGTTGACTGAGCTCCTCTAGAAAGACAACTCCTAGCATGTTAAATCTACATTGTGCATGGGCTGAACAGTAACAAAGTCGGTGTGAACTGATTAAACAAACTAAAACAAATTTGAAGAATTCAATCCATTCTATAAAAACAACATACCTGTACTTTTTCAGAAATATACAATTAGACTTATAATATACATAAAGTATTAAAGTCTAAAATCACTACTCCCAAAATATTTTTATCTTACAGTACAATACTAATTATAAAAAATATCATAAGATAAGACAAATACATCAAGCAGATATTATCTGCTTAGTGATTACTCCAATTCGGAACGAGAAACAAGATGATAAACGAGAAAAAGTTTAGCTGAAGTACATTTAGAGCACAAAATATCCAGAATTATTATATAAAATTCATTTGAGAAATCATTTGATAGAGCGAATTTTTGACCAGAATAATCTTTCTCCATAGACAGGAATAGGGTTACACTAGATGATGTTAAATAATAAAATTTGGTATAAATATATATTGTATATTTATGTATTGTATATAGTGTATACATATAGTATATTTTTTCGCAAATAATCAGTATTCCAAATTTTCACTAGTCCAAAACGTGGGAAAATTTAAAATAAAAGCCATAAGTAATTAATACTAATTGAGTATCGTAAAAGAAAAAAAGCTTAGACATAATAATTTTATTATTAGCTGTAAGATTATTTACCAAATCATTTGTTTAAAAATTTAAACAGTATAGATACATAGATATAGATTTATATTATCGAATCGTTAAATCATAATGTGGAAAAATTTGCAGACTAAATGTATGTATTTGTGTTAATGGGAAAAAAAAGGCTTTGGTTTGTTTTTGCTTAATCCTTAAAATTATAAAAACTAACCAAAATATTTGGATCTGCTTAATGCGTTAAAAAATATAATCAAAGTAGATAGTAAAGTGCAGATTGTGTGGGAGGGAGTTCAATGGCTTTGAAAACACAATTACCAAATCGTGCAATGATTGGTACTCGTTGTATGGAAAAAAAAATGATTATGAATACTTAAAACAATTATATTGGGATATTTAAGCATCTCAAGAAATATTAAGATATCTGCGAATTTTTTGAAAATTTTTCTTGAGAAGCTATAAAAAAGGAAAAAAGGTATAATATATAGCATATCTTATCAATGTAGTAATATCGTTTTAAAAGAGATAACGTAATATAAAATTACAATTTTTCTTAATAGAATGAATGAAATATTTTATGAATGAAGCTAAATTCCCAATGTATTGCCTTTCTCTAGACTTGTAGAGAAAATGAAGACATAACTTATTCCCTATTAATGTAAATCAATCACGATCGCTTAACAATAACATTTAGTTTAATTTTAACTTAAATATTTTATTACAAAAAACAACAACAATAAATTACAAATGTGTAAATTTAAATTTAAATTTACAAATGTGATACCGATTTAAAAGTATATTGATTGAGATCGACTAATTGTAGATTTCTTTTTGCAACAATGTTTACAACCGTCGTCTTTATCAACTTCGTTATGAACCCACTTAATAAAATAAGTTTTGTTTATTATCGCATTAATCTTCTTACAAGATCTGCTGAAATTCTTATGTCGTTTATGAAAAATATTACGGAAACAGTGGAAAATAGAGTATCTACTACAATGACGAACTCTAGGAGAATTGGAAGAAAATTCTTTGAAAGCAATGCTAGTGATTTTTTCGGCGTTTTCTAAAGTAACACTTTCTGGTATAAACTTAACTGGTTCCCGGGAAGGTATAGGGCTTGTCTTAGTATTGCGATTTGTCTTTATTCTAAGGAATTCATTTAGTGTTTTTATGTGCGATCTACTCGAGGGCTCCTTTTTCTTACTCTGAGAGGAATTAAAAAAAGGTTCAATAATTGGAGAAGACACAGTAGGTACTTCAGTATTATTCGTATTATTAAAATCTTCCGTTTCGTTTGCTGAATGTTGTGAACGAACCTGTGTGCTTAAGTTATTCTTATCATCAGAAACGTTCATTGCGGAAGAGTTGACTATTTCATTGCAATTCCATAGATCGCTTGATATTATGCTCTCCTTTGGCTTAGCATCACTGTGAACCATCTTATTAGTCTCTAATAAACTAGGCGATGTTGATTTCTTATGGATTGAAAAGTTACAAAATTATATATGTAGTGTTATTAACTTTAATATTACTTACGTTCACATCTACATCTACAATTAATTTCTTCATTAATTTATTGCAGTTATTTTCAGAATCGACTTTATAGTGTCTTGAATTAGAATGAGTTTTCGTAATAGAGTCATGGGTTTTAATTCCATTTGTTATAGAGCTATTTGCAAGTCTGATTCTTTCCTCCCATTGTAAGCAACGAGCTCTTATTTTGGGACCCATTTTTAAATGTTTTGGACTTAAGTCAAATGTATCTCTCTGTTCGGTTTGAGCTTTTGAATCTAAGTTATTGTGATCTTTGACAGAAGTGTATGTTAAATTGGCTGATGAAAAAATATCGGTATTTAGATTATTCTTATTAAAAGTATTGACTATATTAACAGATTCATTTGTATTCATAATTTTTGATGATTCAAATCTTTCATCCACGACTTCATTTTTTTTTATCTTTTCGTTCCTAAATTTTTTCTTCGAATCTGAACCACATTTGTTTATAACAACTTCATTATTATATTCAGTAATTTGTTTTTCCTGTTTTCCATAGCGACTGTTACTTTGAACGTTGGGACGAAATTCTATGTAAGCTGAGCCTAGAACTTCCGTACTTATATTATTTGTTTCTTTAGATTCCTGTAACGACTTATTTGCGTCAGCTGTTATTAAACTAAGCTGATTTTCAAGATATATATTTTTATTTTCTTGTTGCAAACCACAACAGATCAGCGCTGAGTCAGTTTTACATATTTTCGACTTGAAAGATTTAACTTCCTGAACCGGTAATGTAGATTTGTCGAAGCAAGTATTTGTGTTCAAAAAAACAGCTCTGCTATTTCTCGATAATGAAGTACTTATGACTCCAAGCTTTTTTTCCCATGCTAAGCAACGGTCCTTAATGGTTTTATTTTCCAAAATTATTACGTTATTGGTTTTATCCGATGTAGAAGTGATCGGGCTAGTTGTATCCGCAGTGTTATTTTTGTCTTCCGCATATCGCATTTTTTGGCTGGTGTTAGTTATAATTGGAGTAAATTCTTGTAGTTCTGAGATACTGGTTGAACTCCTTTTGGTCCATCTACTACTTACTTCTCTTTCAGAAAGCGCGGACTTCAGTTTATCCATAGAGAGTGTGTTTTGCGATTTATTTGTACAGTCATACCTTTCATAATCGATGAATTTTCTTTGGTTTGATTCGCTACTCATACTGATCTTCCGATCATCAATGGCAATTTCTTTCTTTAAGGTACTATTTGAGTGCTCAACAGCATTCACCAAATTCATTTTTGCTGTTTGTATTGGTTTGTGAGAGTCATCATTTTGCTCGACTTGCAGTCTAGGAATGTCGCTAGTATTTGGTAATTTACCAGAATGTTCTATAAAGGCTGTAGTAGAATAATTTTTGTTAGCATCGACATATAAACCTTTCTGAATTTTGTCTTTTTTATCTTCTTCAGATATTGTGGAGTTCTGACTACTTAAAAAGGATACTGTTTTCTTTCTTCTAAAACATTTCTTATAACTTTTTCCTGTAATAATTTTATGCTTTCTGGTATCAAAAGGAGAGGCAATGGTATGTTCTTCATTTTTAAGCTTTTTAGTTTCATTTATAGTGTCTACATTTTTTTCTAGATTCAAGAAGTTATCTTTCGTATTCCTAAATGTGGCGACAGTTTCAATATCAGCTACGGAAGTTGTTTGCATAAATGGTTTTTTCAATGCATTGCACCCAGTAAACAGTCGTTTTTGTTTTAGAATAGAAGGTTTGAGTTTTCTATTATTCGAATTTCTTTTTGTTATAACATTATTTTTTTGCATTTTTAAAACATGTTTTGTTTTAAATTTTCGATTTTTAAATGTTGAGACGTTATTTTTTTCTCCTATCTGATACGTGTAACTATTTTCAGAATCCAACGGCTCTAAGCTTGAATCACTTGCATCATTGACATTTGAGGCGAAGACGTTCTTTGGTGTTGTTGACTTTATTATACATGTATTGAGTTCAGCACAGTTTTTCTGCGATTTCGTTGTGTTATCTTTACTTTTTTGAGTTTTCATGCTGTGAACTGCAGTGTTACGTACTGCTTTCTTTTCAATATACTTTTGCAAAGGTAGTTCCAAGTTACTGAGTGCAGTTCGGATCTTTGGCCTCATAGTAGTACATATAAAGCTTGTATCAGATTCATTAGATGTCCTCAAGCAAAATATATCACTGTGATCCCAAATGGAAGTTCCATCTGCATTTTGAGGTTGTAGGGTTTCAAGCTTAACTTTATGTTGCATGTTCAGGAAACAGGTTCCAGGATTCCGTCGAACTAATTTTTGTTCCTTAGATTCACTATCCAGCAACTTCCTTATATGTATAAAGGTTTTTGATTCATTTCGTTCTAAGTTACCTCGTAGTTTAGCTGTTTGATTCACTTCTGGTTGGATTTTGACTATCATACGATTGTCATTGATCATACATACATCGGAAACACTATGTGAGGGGGCGATAATATGTCTGGCTAGCATTTGACTTAGAGTTTTTGATTTAAGGTCGTCCCCACATAAAAAAATTTGTTCGTATGCAGAGTTTTCAGAAACAAAATGTTGTAATTTACATATTAACTGTGGTTCTTTGTTAATTGAACATATCGAAGTTGATGTCTCATTTTTTTCATTCTCGGCTGATCGTAGTGGAATTTTATCTGTAGTATTACAATCATCCTTATTAGAAATATTATCCTCCTCAAGAGGCATTTCTTAATATGAAATTATAAAATAAATTTTTCAACGGTTTGGATACTTTACAACAATATATAAGCAATTAGTTTGACTCTGTGTAGTGAGTAGTGGAATTAGTTAAAAGAATTTTGTGATAAATATGAATAACGTTTTCTTTTTTATTTCTATTTTTGACATTAATTTCTTGACACATTTGAATAATACCACAAAATTGAATAGAATACATTTTCGTTTTGTTCAATTAGAAAGTTTAAACTACTGAAAACTTTCTCTAATTTAGAAGAGATGGCTTTTTAAAAAATATTAAATATCGTCCTAAATATTTTGTGCGTAGCATTTATTCTTATACATGGAAAAACAGGCTTGTGCAGAAAATGTAGATAACAAGCTCTAGAAACCATTAGTAGTAATACTTGTATTCACATGTGCATCGCATGTACAATTTGAAATCAGCATTTTAATTAATTTTAATTAAATTGTTTTATTAAATACATCAAAATATACAAACTTATAAATTTGTTGGATTCTGTCTAAAAATATGTTGATTGAGATCGCTCAATTGTAGACTTCTTTTCACAACAATATTTACAATCAGTGCCTCTTTCAGTTTCTTGATGAATCCAGCTAATGAAATAAGTTTTGTTTATGACCGCGTGAATTTTCTTATAATGTCTCTTAGGTCGCTTCTGAAAAAGATTACGAAAACATTGGAAAATAGACACCCTACTAGAGTGATTAACTCTAGCAGATCTAGTAGAGAACTCTTTGAAAGCAGTGCTTGTTATTTTCTTAGTATTTCCAACTTTTACATCTTCATTTATATAGCTACCTGTTCGTTTTGCACTTATTCTGGGGTATTCAATTGTAGATTTTAAGTGTGATGTAAATGTGGGTTCGTGTTTCTTACTCCAAAGGAAATTCAGAGACGATTTAGTAACTGGAGAAGGCACAAAGCAAACTTCTGTATTATTACCATTATTACAGTCCTCTGTTTCATTTGTTCGATGTTCTGAACGAACCTGTGCAATTATGTCATTCTTATAGTTAGAACTTTTCATTCCGGAGGAGTTAATATCTTGACTGTACTTCGGACGATGGTATGATTTCAGGCTTTCATTTGCTTTAGGTTTTGCTTGAACTACATTGCCAGAATATACTGCTCTATGCAATTTAGTTTCCTTATGGATTGAAAAGTTAAGAAATTGCGTATTTTAAAAAACTATTAATATTTACCTCAACGTTTAATACATTTGCATTTATATATTCCAATTTTCTTATCAATTTATTGCAGTTTGTGTCAGAATCGGCTTTATAATGTTCTGAATTAGAGTAAGTCCCCTTAATGCACTCGTCAGTTTGAATTCCATTTGTTACAGAACTATTTGCAAGTCTGATCCTTTCCTCCCATTCTAAACAACGTGCTCTTATTTTGGGACTCATTTTCAAATGTTTTGGGCTTAAGTCAAATGTGTCTCTCTGCTGGGTTGGAGTTTTTAAGTCTGAGTTAGTATTATATATCGCAGAACTATATGTAATATTTGCTGGTGAGGAAACATCTGTGTTCACACACCTCTTGGCTGCTTTAATTGATTCATTAGCTACATATTTTGTTGGGGTTTGTTCATTTCTAAGAAATAAGTTTTGTAATCGAGTAACTTTATCATTAAAGGTGTCTTTGTCAGTCGTAGTTTTAGAAAAGTTTGATCTTTCATCTAGCTCTGAATATATGCCTTCAATATTTTTTTTGGCATCTATATTAATATTTCCAAGCTTTTTCTTTGATTCAATATGATGTTTGTTTCTTGTAACTGGGCTTATAACTTCAGTATCCCTGCCAGTAGTATATTTTTCTTGTTTAATTACAGGGCGCCTATTAGTTTGAGGATTAGGACGAAATTCAATATAAGCTGAGCTTAGATACTGCGTAGTTCTGCTATTTGTTTCTGTATGTTCCTGTAACGACTTATCTGCTTCAGTTACTATTGAACTAGAATGATTTTTAGGGTATATATAATTTTTGTTTTCTTGTTGTAAACTACAGCAGATCAGCTCCGACTTAGGTTTACATATTTTCGACTTAGAAGAATCAACTTTTTGAACCGGTATTGTAGAATAGTCACTGCAAGTGTTTATGTTCAAAGGGACAGTTCTATAATTTTTCGACAATGAACTATTTATGACTGCAAACTTTTTTTCCCATTCCAAGCAACGGTCCTTAATAGTTTTACTCCCCGGAATTATAACGTTTTCTGTCTCATCCGAATTAGAAGTAATTTGAGTAACTAGATCTAAGGTATTATTTTGGTCTTTTTGGTTATAAGGTGATCCCGCTTCTTGCACTTTTTGAGTTGCACAAAATTTAATTGGAGTGTATATTTGTTCTTCTGGACTACTGTTTATATGCCTTTTAATCCATCTATTACTTATATCTATTTTGGAAGATGAAGACTTCAGTTTATCTACAGGGACTGTTTTTTGCAATTTATTTGTACATTTATACTTTTTATAATCGACGAATTCACTTTCGTTTGACTCGCTGCTCATTCTAACGTCCCGATCATTAATGGGAATTTCTTTCTTTAAAGTATTATTTGAGTGTATAACAGTTTCTACCAACTTCATTTTTGCTGTTTTTGATTTATGAGAGTCATTATTCGGAGTTTGTATTTTATTTTTTGCAACTTGTAGTTCAGAAATGCTGCTAGTATTTGCAATACAGGGAAATTTCTCATCCTTAAGCTTATTTGAGGTGTCAGATAGAATGTCAAGATGCTTTGCTAGCACGGCATCATTTTCATTTGTATCGCTTCTGGAAGTTGTCTGAATAAATGCGTTATAAGACTTTTTGAACTTAGTACTCAGTCGTTTTTTGTTCAAAATATATGTTTTTCGTTTTCTGTTATTGAATGTTTTGTTTGCTAATGAAGCATTATATTTATATTTTCCATTTTTAATTTTACATACATCACCTTTTACACTGGCAAAATGTGTATTACTGTTTTCGGAATTGATTGTTTCTAAGCTTGTATTGTTATCATCTTTAAGACTCGAATCAACCACTTTACTCAACTTTGGAAAGGGTTTGTCAATTACTTTACAGGTTTTCTGTGATATCATAAAACTGTCCATACTTTTTGTAGTTTTTAGCTGTAAAGTCTTAAGCTGAACTTTATCCTGTTTGCATAGATAACAGGTTCCTGATTTTTTGATTAAAACTGGTTTAAGTGCACTATCCGACAATTTCCTTATGTGAATAAAACGCTCTTGCGATTCATTTGCTTCATTTGGTTCTAAAGTACTTTGTTGTTCAGAGATTCCACTCATCTCTGGTAAGACTTTAAGAATCACATGACTATCATTGATTACGTAAACATTAGAGACAGTATGTGAAGGGCCGAGCATGCGTTGAACTAGCATTTGACTTGGAGTTTTCGATTCAAAGTCCTTCTCAGATATGAAGGTTTTAGCTTCAGAACTTTCAGAAATGGAGCGCAGTAATCTAGATTCCATGTGAGGTTCTTTGTTGGTTACACATACCGTAGTAGTAGGTGCGTCATTATTGTCTAATTGTTGTGGATTTTTATTGATGGTATTATAATCATCATCTTTTTCGATATCATCATTTCTAAGCGACATTTTGAAATATTGTACTATAAAATATATTTTATTGCGATTTGAGGACTATATAATAATTTTAATATATATTAGTAAGCAATCAGCTTAAGTTTGTAGAATTGTTAAGCTATATGAAAAAATTTTTGAATAAATTTTCTTAAAAATTTTTATTATTTTTATAGAAACTTCAAAATTGTGATAGAAACTGAGATCTACAATAAATTCGATATGTTAGTAAAAACTGTTAAAAAAAATTAAACAAAGCATATTTTTTACTTATTTATGTTTGTTGTTTTTTAGTTTTAATAGTTTTTGTTCACATATGTATTATATGTTCCAATAATTCTCAATTTTAAGAAAAGCCATCGAAATAACTATGTTCACCACTCTGTGGACCTTCTTCAATACTAATCCGTTCGGGAAGTCAATAGTTTTCATTGTTTCATAGTCTTCAGTGAGTAATAATGAATGTATGCTGTTCTCACTCAGATGTGTTATATTAATACATGACTAAATTCTATTTTGGAATCCAGTAATTGGAATCCCCTTTCCGCAAAAGCTATTTGCGTTAACTATGTATTTGCAGATATGAACTTCTCTCATAACTACATAACTATTTTTATAGTAAACATAGTTAGTTATAGTTTTGAAAAGGTAATGTGAAATTACGATACTGTTAATGCTGTAGGGGCGCAAAAGGCTTGTAAGAGATTACTCGAATTCTCATTGCTTCTGAAAAAAAGTTCACTCTTCAAGATTTGCTATTCTTTTCATATAACAGTATGTAACTTTTAATAGGTCAACTTTTCATCAGGTCAACAGCTTCACGTCTTTCAAAAGCATTCTGCCAGTGATATTCTTAAACTTCAAATAAGCTAATTGCTCTTTTTATTGTTAAATGATTTCATGTTTGGATTAAATTCTTTCACGTTTTTTCCCAAGAATTGAGTTGAAATTTTTCAATTCTTTGGCAATAGTTCGCATTATTAATGGCCCTATTCCAATATGGATTATTTACCACTGTCAAATAATTTAAATATTATAGTATAACATGTTCTTGAAAAGTGTACGCGTTAGTGTCACATATATATGCTATATAGGATCCAGTAGTTAGTTCGTACATCACTGAAGACTAAAGAACAGTCTTTAACTTAAGAGTAAAAACATTAATTGTAGGTCATCGCATCGGTAAAATAGCCAGCTGGCATAGTCGTGCTTTACCTGTTAAGCACAACTTCTTTGGCATGGTCCATTGTTTGTTTAAGAAAGATTTTAATGAGTGAAAGGTAAATTCATGTAATGAAGTGAAAGTAAAAAAATAATTTAATTGTTAAATAAACAAATACCTGTACAAATAAAATTAAAATTAATAATTAGTCGCAAATCAATAAAAACCATATTCAAAAATTGAACCGGTTAATTTTGTTTACTACAATATGTTATGAAATACTTCTCAATTGCTGTAATAAAGAAATATTTTTTTTTTAATTCATAGTTTAATTAACTATATTAAATATCAATATAAAATTAAATCCAATAAATAGCCACTGATTGAAACATTTTTTATTAATACTTATATGTTATCTATATGTTGAAACAATATTTTTATTATTTACAAATATTTTTCAATTAATTCAGAAGCTGTTAGATAAATGCAGTAAAAACGATCATTAAAATCACTTGCATACCGCTGAGCGGCTGACCATGAAATGTTACAATAAACTTCTATTAATAATATTAACAATATACAAATATTACATAGAGATATCTATATCTATGTATAGTAATTTATACTTTGTGATACTCTTAGGTATATTATTGCATTTTGCAAATTTGTATCTGTTAGCTTAAAAATGCGTGTTATAGTTTCTTTGAGGTATGCTTTGTGGTAATTTGTACTATTGTTGCTATTAAGATTTTCAATACGATTTGTTGTAAAAGTATTTAATACTTCATCATGCTGAAGGTCAGAAAATGGCACATTAATTACAATTTCAAATGAATGTATAGATTGGTATTTGATATTTATGAAAACTAAAATTAATTGAGCTCTATTTCATTGAACTAATTACTCGTGTATTTATTAACTAAGTTTAGATATGAGTACTATATCACATTAAAATTTTAATATCTTGCTATTAATTAATTATTCAAGTATAATGTGTTATTGTATTATTATATATTCAAAAATAAATAATCTTGTATAAAAATATCTAACATCTAAAACTTTTGAAATTTGGACCCAAAGACAAGAAGCACTACGAGAAAATTATTTTACGTTACTATTTTTATTATACATAAGAAAAGAATAAGTTGTAAATAGTTTATATAAAATTGATATCGTAATAATATAACTCTCACGTAACTCTATTACGTCAAAACCCCTAACTGATATATTTTTTCAAGTTGAAAAACTGTTTCTATTTATGACACTCGCGTTATTAGTTCCTCCCCATTTTACAAATATGTAAATATATACACTAATACCCCGATTTGCGTTGAAGTCTATTGATTGTGAAAATGTAGTCCCTTATATTCATTTGGATAGAAAATGGGATTCAAAGAAGAATGTCATTCAGTCAAATGTTAATTCAGAATAAGGCTCTGTCGATATTCAATGAGTCAAGAGGTAATTCCCCGCCAACAAATGATCAAAAACCAGAATATTTTTGGAAATTAAATGTGTGGAGAAATGTGATACGATTGGCGTCGCATTTATTCGGCTCCAATTAATGATACAATTCGGGGTATTAAAAGAATTATATAGATAATGATAAATGCATTGGCATATATCTATGACCATATGGATGGTATTCATCCATCACTTCTGCTTCTTAGTACGACATTATCTCTTGGTTGTTATCGGCTTTAGTTAGGGGATGATTGCTCGTGGTAGGAATATACATTAATCCTATTTTATTTAGATTTACCATAACCGCTTAAGCATTTTCGGTAAAAACATAATTAACTGAATGCTTTAAATATGTGAATCATAAAACAGTTATCAAACACGTGTAATCTAAATCTGAAAGTGTTGTAAATAGGTGTCACTGGTTTTTTTGAGTAGAGCGTTGAGAATATCTATAAATAAAGGTGTTAAAGGACACAACTTTGATGAACGTTCATTGATATTATAAAGTTATCGATAGTGCTGTATTTGAATCGCATTAATCATTTTGCGTTTTTAAATAAGGTTTATTTTATTTCAAGAGTTTTATTAGAAATTTTATCCACGAAATTAATTTACGATCAAATAATACTTATAATACAAACATCTTCCCATCCTTTATAAATGATATTTATTACAAACGTTTATGAATAGAACATACTTTTGAAGCTGAAAAATTTATATTAGTATTAGTTGAATTCAGTTTTTTTATTTAACTCGTATTCATGTGATTACTTGATAGTTTTAAGCCATTCACAGATATTAAACAAAAAATATTTTTAGTATTTTTGATGTATCTGCATTTAACTCAGTAACCATTACAAATATTTGAGGTTACACTGATGAGCCATAATTTAAAATTCTTTTTCTCTCCTTCAGTTAATAAATTTTGCATGTTAATGCCAATTTTTATTTAACGACTTTCTCCAACTTCAATGCCAGTTCGTACTTAACTTTCTTAATTACTTGTTTCTGCTGTCTGGTTTTAATATCACTTTTAAGAATAAACCAAACTAGAATTTAGTCATTTCCTTTCGTTAAATCGAAACTCTCAATAAAAAGAAACCAGTTAATATTAATGGGATAAATAAAAATGCATTTTTTCCATAGATTTGTAGTCTTCCTGCTGCAATGAAAATTTAGTGTCTACACTACTAATTGTAACTATAGTTGTTAGAAAACTTAATATATATTTTTTTTTATCTGCTAATGAATCTGTAGTCTATTTCCTACTAAAATGCACATAATTAACTTTAGTTACACTTATTTTGATTAAATTTCATTAAATGCATTTTACTTGAAAAATACGAATATTCACACAACTGAAATTGTTTTTGTGCTGCAACGCTTCAATTAGGAGCAACACAAAATTTTCATTAGTTTTGTATGAGAAGTTCGTTAGGAGAAGGCTAGACTTCCGACCTAAGTAAATTATGTGGACTCGTAATTAATGCAATTTACGCGTCGCTGCCATTCAAAAAAAACCAAAGTTGAATAATTGATTTGTTTGCTTTGCGTTATGTAATGAGACCAATGAGACCAACATACCAAAAAAAAACAATGTAATGAAGCTATACGTTTTGTACTTCAACTTAATTAGTTGAAAACTAAAACAAATCAAATACACTTTAGTGTTAAGTTTTAACTACGTCTTAAGTAAGAAATGTCATAAGATACAATAATTAATTTAATTAAAAATAAATTAAGAAATTTGTGTAGATAAAAACCTTAAGAAGTTCATTAGAGTTAAACATTTAATATCAGTCATTTTATAATATTTAGCATAACATCATCATATTATAATGTTTATCATAACATTGTAGGGACAGAGCCCTGAAGTTATATGCGAAAATTGACAGGCTATCCTACTTACCACTATCCAATCTTAGAGTAATCAGTCTCCGCACGGGGAGGAACGCAGATCTTAGATCAATCACTGAATAATCATGAAGCTTATGAGAGATATGCAAATTAGTCAATGAGATGGGTGGCACCCTGTAGTACCCCCCAGCTATCAAAGAGTAAAAGTGCCCAGTTGCGCTGACTCGAAAAAAAGGATCAACATACATAACATTGTACGTAATATGAATGCAGCTCTCTGATACTGATATAAAAAAGTTATGAATGAATTGTTATTTACCTTAGACGCAATTTTTTATTTATTGCATGTATATAAAAGAAATATTCAATTTTAAATATTATTAAGCGTATAATGTTAATATGATAAAAAGGTCCCAATAATCCCATTTTTATTTTTATATACTGTATATTAATCTTTACTATATATACTATGTTAATCTGTATTAATGATCGAGAAACGTTTGCAACCGTCCACCACATGGACGGAGACAGAAAAAATGATCGAAAACAAAACAAACTGGGATCGCATAGCAATGTTGTTGTTTGA